TAATGATAATGATAATAATAAATGCGTGTAAAATAGGTCTCCAAGCAAATTTTATAATTTACAAAAAATTGAAATTTTATTTTTATGTTCCCTCACATACATATATACATATGTATGTAAGTTCTCTTTAAGCCTACATATAAATAATAGAAATCTTATTTAACTGGACAAATAGCTTAATATTGGGCTCCATAAACTTGACCACGTTAATTGGTAAATAAAAATCAACAACAAAAATTAATCAGCATTTTGAAAAGAATCAGACTTCATTGCAGCTATATACTTATACTATTTTGGTACCTTATATAGAGTAACCGATAATAACTGTCCATTACTGATATCATTGGATCTGATTGGTCAGTTGACTGTGGTCAAATGCTTATCTGTATTATATTTAGTCACACACTAAGTCAAGTGAATTTCTTTTATCGCGTGCCTATGGACAACATCATTAAAGCCATAAAGTTGACCAACTCGTGCCGCATTCAGAGAATCACAATGGGCAATGAATATAAACCCGATGATAATATACATACTATGTGCTCACTAACTATAATTAGATGTTAGATCCACAGGTATTTATATGGCAATTATCAAAACAAAATTGCAACAAATAATGCTGTAAAGTTCGCACTTTTGAGCTTTGACCAAAGCGGAACGCTTTCAAGTTACGCGTTGACCACAGAAACCAGAGTAGAACGCAGACTGGAGTGCTTATAAAACATTTATTTATATTTAGAGATAGATATAGTTATAGGTAGTTTAGATTTAAGGCACATGCTTTGAATGTCACATCAATTGACTAGTTGAAATTTCATCTGGATTTATTTGAATCCTGCCTTCAAATAATGAGTATAATTTCTGTGTGTCTGGTATGTCGTTGCTCTCTGGTTTGGATTTGTCTTTGGTGTAGCTCTCTAGCTGGCGCCCCTGCACAAGTTACAGCTGAGATTGTCGCACTGCCACGCCCAGCAGCAGCAATAGTCCTAGGCTCAGGCCGGACATCCTGCCCGCAGAGTTGCGCTCCTGCAGCTGCTGCACCAGCACCACAGCTCGATTATTCTCGCTCTGCAGTTCGCGATAGTTGTTGTGGAGCTGTTTGTCCTCTTTGTACTCGATCTCCTTGAACTGATTCACCTGATCCAGTGTCACTGGGTGCGTGTCGGTCAGCACGATCCAGGTGACGGCCTCTGCGCAAGTGGGCGTGGTCAGCGAGCCTGCATAGGTGAAATATGTGTCCACACTTGGCACCAGATCGTCCACGGCCAGGCTATCCGCCACCAGGGTGGGCACATTCATCTGATCGTATTTCTTCACTTTGTCCAGGCTCTTGATGATGCTGCCAATGGCCTCGTTGGGCGTATTGGACACATGATAGAGCACGCCGATCACCGTGATGCCGTCCTTGAAGTTAGCTGCCATGCTCATGTTGGGATAGATCTTGTTGCGATGCACAATGTGCACCTCCAGGGGATAGCGTATGTCGTTTATGGTGTGCTCCGACCACCAATGCATATGGATTTGCTCCACAACAAAGTCGCTGCCCAGGCCTCCACCGCTCAGCGTTAGCTCGTGAGCAAAGCCCGAGAGTTGAACTGAAAATCGAATGGAATTTAGTATCGTTAAATTGTTATCTATGGATCACGGCGACTACCCACTTGAGTGACCATTGTTGACCATTTGCAGTGCGCCCTGATGCTCGTCGTAATTCTCAAACTTGAGTGGACTGAACTCGCCTTTCAGCGCGCCCTTCACGTGCAAATTGATGGGACTCTGTTTTCTGCCGGTGTCACACAGACCTCCCCACTTGGGAAATGCTACAAATATAACAATAATAAATAAATTATATAAATAAACATATAAATAAAGAGAAATAAACATAGAACATGATTGGCTGGTGGCTAAGCAATGGCAATTCATTATTATATAAATAACAATTATGTAGAACTGCAGTGAATAATTTGATCACATGAGATTTTTCCGCACTTTTTGCACAGATGTAGGTAGAATTTAATATATTTTATTTAATTTACTGATATAAACTAAATTTATTAAACTTAAGAAAAACTGAAGCAAAATTAGTTGTTTATATATTTTGAGTCACTTTCTTTCCTTCTTTCTCTCAAGCTCCCTCACTCTTCTTCTGTCTCTCTCTATATATATATATACATACATATCTCTCTCCCAGTATTTTTATCTCTCATTCTATTACTTTTACTTTTCTCCCTCTCTCTCTCTCTCTCCCTCTGTCATTCTTCCTTTTTGGTCTGTCTCAGTCTTCCTCTCTCTCCCTCTCCTTCTTATATCCTCTCTCTCTCTTTCGTTTATCGCCTTTTTTATCTCTCTTTCTATCCCTCTCACTCATGCTACCTTTCTAGCTCCCTCGCTCTAGCCAACTTTCGTTCTGCTCCTAGATCTTTCTACCTTTGCCTCTCTCTCTCTCTCTATGTCTGCGATTCTCACACTATCTATGAGAGTGTCTTTCGCTCTATCTCTCTCTATCCCTCTATCTTTCTTAATATTCCACTGAAGCTATCTTTATCACATAACTACTACCCTAGTCTATTACAGTTGCCCTCAATTTGGTATTCAGCAAATTCCGTGTCTTGTTTTAAGTTCATTTACTTTGTCGTTTTCGAATTTGTATACGCGGCAATTTGGCACAATTTAGATAAACGCTATTTGTAGAGCTATCACAACTGGGCATTGGAATGGGAGACACTTGACTGTGATCAGCTCAGCCACGAGCTACTGCGGCTATGCAAATGCACGTTGATTAACTAATACGAGCTTCAATGAGTCCCACAATGAACTCGAATTTAAATATAGCTCCAAACACATACATATATGTAACTTTTATTGGCTCTACTTACGCTCATCCTGATTGTTGTCCAGGTCCGGATAGCCCCATTCGCTGGCTGCGCTGAGTGCCAAAAAGCTGCAAGCTGCAAGGCAATAAAGAAAAACTCAAACATTAGCTATACGCAGTGTAACACTAGAGCAACTCTAGACAACAAGCTAAGCGCCCTCATTGGGCATTTTATGCTCATGTTCATGTGTGTAGATATACATATATAAAAATGTGTAATTATTTATTTTCTGGGTACTCTTCAACTTGACCGACATAAAAGTTTGAAAAAAAACACGTTTTCCGGCCATCAAAATAGCACAGAATGTGCATTGTGTGCCATAAAAAAAAAAAAAAATGAACAAAGAAGGGCAGAGGCAGTGCTCTATATAGAGACTACACATAATGCGATATACGTCGACTATTTGGCAACGATTGGCACCTTGCACTTGACTTTGGCCGGCCAAACATGCGCTAAAAATAATGCCACGAATTTATGATGTCGCCGTGCGGCAGCAAAAGCAAAAGCAGCGCCAGCGACAGTTCGTCTATAAACATATTGTATACTAGATGTGCATTATTTATATTTTAATTGCATTTGCAAATGTTTGCATAACATAAATAAGATTCCGTACTGGCTGACTATTGAATATCCCAAGAGCTGAGTTCCCATATGCCAAAGGCATAATCTATTCATGAAAGCATTTAAAAAAAATGTCTTGATCTTACAATATGGAATGAACCTTCCAAAGACACATGTATATACAAAAAAAAACAAAGGAAAATTACATATAAACTATTTAGTTATTGTTCAGCCCTTGATCTGCAAAAAAAACTGACTTAGCTCAGTCGACGTTGCCATATAGCATACATATAATAATAGTCTAAAAAAAAAAATTAGGCTGAGCTACGTCAGCTCACTATGTTGAGCAAGAGCTGACTGGGCAAGAGCTAAGCAACTTCTTATACTCCATATACACACATTCTGCATTTAGAAACTTCCTTTGCCTGCGACATTCAATTTCGAGAAATTAGTCTACCCCACTTAACCACAAACACTACGTTCAGTTGATAATCAAAAAAATCTGAAATATAAGCAAAATTGCTTTTTTTTTCGTTATTTTTAAGTCGAATTGGATTTTTTAAAAGCATTTTGGCAGCTAAGCATCAGCATATGTCAGCCAGATATTCATGCTTGTGCGAATTGAAGACTATTTTTTATTTCTTTTCTCAAGATATATATGCCGTTAATGATGCATTTTGACCCATCCGTATAACTCTCAGAGTGTTTATTTAGCCATCAAGGGGTTAAAAAAAACAGCTCGTAAAAGCAATAGAGAAACGAAAAGCTCCTGATTTACGATTTGCCAAATCTTTCAAATATATTTATGCTCCCATTTGACACTAAAAGAAAATAGAAAGAGCTATATAGTATATGTGGATATATCATATAGGTATATGCTTTCACCCAAATGACGACAGCAGCTAAGAAAACAATTTTTCTGGATTTATGGCTTGGCGAACTGTGCAATATATTATATTCAATTTTATTTATTTATTTATTTTTTTTTTTTTTTTCTGCAAAGCTCGTGCCTAACAGCTGATTCTAAAATAATTTTTTTGTTCTATTATAAATTCTAGACCCATGATTTATTATTTATGTATTTGGTATTGTGCACATGTCTAATGTAATTTTGATGTTTCCAATTGCAGAAACTAATTATATCTTTATAGACAAATGAATTTAGGAACCAGACAAACGTTTCGCATGGAAAACGTTTTTTATGGGTCAATTTGGAAAAGGCTATATCATTTGGAAATGCTATCTAATTTATTTTCAAAATTTTAGTATTTGCAATTTAAGAATATTTACTGCTGCATCAAGTTGAATTTTTATTTGTTAAGTTAATGACTTGGACTTTATATAGAAGCTATTTATAATATTTTAAATGAGTTTTACTTTTGATAACATATATATCTATATGATCATAGTTCTCTTTTACTCATTCAAATATTTCGATTTTATGTTCATTTATTTTATGAGTTATTAAATTATGGGAACTTTAATATTATAATTGAGATTTGTCTAAATTATATTTCAATTTAATTCGTTATCTCTTCTATTGTTTGAGAAACATTTTTAGTACCTGTGCTTAGCCATATGTATTGCCACAGTTAATCCGTCTATATTTAGTAAATGACAAAAGATTGAAACCTATTTCTGTCTATGAACTGATGTGTAGATATCGCTATCTGGACTTTGCTCAATCATTTGTTAATGGAATACTAAAGCCTAAGTCGTTTTTGTATCATAGAAATAATCTCAAATTTCTAAGCCCAAACTGGACGGGGTGTACAATGAAGTCTACAGATTCTATATACCTAATTTTGCACATTTTATATGTAAGCTCTAACACATTCACACATCTGAATGTCATAAATATTAACATTTCATTCAGATTGAACAACTTAGAACACAGTTATTTAATAATAGGGCTCACATAGTGTGGGAGACTGAATGCAAATGTTTATATATGTAAATATACATGTGTGTGTGTGCCTATCTATGCCTAAGTATATATACAACAATAGTTCAAGCAGCTTTAGGCCAGTTAAGACGCCAGTGCATTTGGTTTTCTTGCTTAGCTTTTGCGGCTCCTTTCGATTGCCTAATCATTTCCGCTATTGATAACGGTGAACACCTTTAAGACCTGTCATCGATCATAATTATGTGAGTGATAATAAAGTGAAGAGCCCTCAGTCTTTGTTTATCTGTATATATATGGCGAGATTAATTTCACAACTTAATCCATCAATCATAGTATTGAAGCACAATTTATAAATATTTTAATTGCAGCAACAACTAAACCAAATTATTAGATACTTAAACGATATAGGAGCGCGACTATCTATCGGAAGCCAGATACAAACTGATATAGTTAATGACAGCCGCAATAGTGGCAGCCGCATGCAACATAGGGTAAATTGTAATTAACATTCGCATGCAACGAAAAAGCAATTAAAACTTGTTAAAAGGAGGCTGGGCAGGGGCCGGGGCAGGTGTCCGGGGAGGTGGCGTAACAATTACCCGGAGTGTTGAACAAAACTGCCAACAAAACGATAATTGCATCGTGGATACCAAAACAATGCGAAAAATTGCACAAAACCGAGAAGAGCGAGAAAGCTGAGACGGACGGAAATTGAGAGAGAGAGAGAGAAAGAGAGAGAAGGGGAGAGAGATAGAGAGGGGCAAAAGCGAAATATGCAACTGATTTGATAAATATTTTATGCCTTATGAGAATTGGAGTTTGACTTGAGGTGGGTATATCCATTTAGAACAACTGTTTGACAAATATTGAAGGTTAATATCGATAGAGCTTAAGTTAAATTTGGCTAATACAGATATATAGATATATGTATGTGTATATACGCTATATATCAAAGTTGCATCTACTTTATCTATTTATGTATTTCTTCTTCTTCTTCTTTCTCTCTATATTATAATCTATCTCTATATTCATCTTTCCGTATTTTAGTTTTGATATTGAAATCTTTGAGTGCTCTGTGAGCGCACACTTATGATCGGACAAGCCTCAGGAACTAAGAGCAAAAAACTTATATAAACCTTATTCTATTCCCTTTAATCCCATATGGATTCAAATCATTTTTTATATGATATTCATCATATTGTCCAATTCTTCTTTGAGTTACAGGAAGAGATCTGTCGAAGCCAAAGTCAAAGTCAAAATGAAGGACATCTGCCAGTCGAGCATGCTCAGCTCATCGCACTCGCAGCTGAATGTTTTTCGATCTTGGCACTTAAAGTGCTGAGCCGTGGCCACAATTGCCTCGTCTCAACGCCTGTCAGTGTCAGAGCGATGCACATGTCAACTTTAGCAACGACACTGACATGCGTTTGGCCGGATTTGACAACGGGATATAGTCTGTTTGTGGGCATGCGACAATGTTCACGTTTAGTAAGTTTCTCAGATTTGCAAGATTTGCACTGTCAGCATTTGTCTCGATTTGGCTCTTATGTTATTGTTATTGTTTATAGCATCTGCCCGCGATTTTTTTGGCCATGTCAGCTGAAAACAATTGAGGGAATTTCGCATTCGTTGCAATAAAATGCCATCGGCTTTGCCATTTGTGCTTTGGCGAAGGCCTATTCCAATTTTTCGCCTAATCACTGCACGCCAGACGCCCCTCTCGGTGATTTTCCATATTTTGTAAAATGTATTTACACTTCTTATATTATCCAATCAAAGTCGCTCGCTGATAAACGGTTTTCGGGAGTGCGCTCGGTTTTATGCTCGCTGTGTGATAGCACGATAATGCCAATATACAAATTATCATCTTACAGTGCGGGTCATGTGAATACGTTCAAGCTGATAGACACTCATAAAAACTCATAAAAAGAATGCAAATTGAAAAAGAAATACTCAAGCTAAAACTAAAAATTAATTTTGCAGATATTTAGTTGAACTGTCAAATTGAAGTATCTCATTATTATTTTTATTAGTCATTAATACAATGAAAAATATTTAATTAAAGCTACCTGAACTATGAAATGCGTTTAGATTGCATGATCATGATTATTAATACTATTACTCATACATCGGACCTACTCATTAATGAATTGTAATACTTGAACCTAAAGTGTTGAAAGTATGATAGACAAACTGATAGCAGATTTTACTTTGCACTCATTGCCATTATCATTATGATTATGATTATTCATTCATCAAAAATTAATAAAAAAGTTAATTGAAATATGTTTCATTGCTGAAACTGATATTTAATATGTCCGCAACTACTTCAACTATGAAATTAGTCTAGCCTACGTGAACATTTGAGTGACATTAGCATTATCATTCATATTAGTCATTGACTATTACAGATATAAAAAAAAAAAAAAATTGATTCACTTATTAAAATATAAAGTTGTACTTTGATATTGATCTCGATTGAATTTGGACTTTTCTATTTATAATAAACACTATTATGATTAAAAATATTCATTATTTAATATTAGTCATTTAATAAGCTATATATATATGAAACCTGATAAGTTATATATATGAGCTGTGATTGATTTTGAATGTTGACGAGATTGATTAGTTGATGCCCTTTTGTTGCCCTTTCATAGAATATACAAGGAGTATATTAGTTTTGTCCTTTTGTATATATATAGAGTCTCAAAATGATCTATATATCTATATATCGGAACTTCTCGTTGCCGACTGCGAATGAAGACGTCAGCTGAATGTGGTCTTTGCTTTATTTTGGCTTTTATGAATGAGTTTTATTAATTTTATGACATTGATTGTTGGTGATCGATGGCAATGCGAAAACTTTCCATCAACATTGATGGCAATGGGCTCGTCTGGTCTGGTCTGCTCTGTCCTGGTCTTTACGCATATCAAAGAAGTCGATATGCAATTATAAGTTATAAACAAACAGCTGATAAGCGCAAATCAGCAGAAGAACTTAAGTAGTACATTGCAACTGATTGGCGATTGTCTCCATATACAATTCATATATGAATAAACACATATATATTTAATAATCTCTGTAAAACGGAAGCTGATAGCTTAACTATCAATATTTGTCCCCGGGTTGAGGGTTATGCGAATTGTGATACTTTTCACACGCTTTGTTGCACTTCAAATGGACAACGAAAATACGAAATGCATTTTCATTTTCATTTTCCGACATGTGAAAACTTAGAGTTATCTTAAATTGATATTTTTCAAGTTGAGTTGATTTGAATGCACAGCTATCAGAGCTGTAGCTATCGGAGAGAAAACCTCTTGAATGAAACTCATTACAGAGCAGGGCAAATAAGTGTGGCTCGATTCACTCGCAATTATCAAAGCAAAATAATCAATTGACGCACAGCTCTGAGGCCGTTGCCGTTGTATAATCATTTAATAACATACGACACAGGTATATATAATTGTCCCATTATATCTTGAAACAAAATCTTTGCTAATCTTTAATACAAAAACCCAGAAGCTCCAAGCGCGCTACTGTGTTATCATGGTGTGTCTTGTTATTAAGTTTTTATAGTCACAAGTCCAAGTTGAAATCGGAATCGGAATCGAATCGGTTTCACGGGCGAGCACGACAATAAAACTTTATACTTATAATTCCCAAATAATTGTTTAATATGTGCTTATGCATGCCCAATGGGCGCGCTTATCAAAATGCTTTATTATTTGCAACGCTTTATCAGCGATTTGTGGAACTCAATCGGAGAGAGGAGTGGCTATAGAGAAATCGAAAATAATTTACGTACTACTCGAAAATAATGTCTAAGATTTCAATGATCGACACGTGATCGATAGCATAGTAAACTAAAAATAATCTTCCTAAGAAGGTACTTTAAAACAAAAGAATAACACCTGTAGGACCGTTAGTTAGCTCGACAAACTGCTTAGAATCTAATCCTGAATTACAAGAGCAGCATCAGCTAATAGAGTAGTGATATGAAAAGGGCATTACAACATAAGTAAGGACTGGTCGAAAACTAAAGAGTTACTCGTGAGTTGTCCAAAAGCTGAATGAGAAGAACTCATAGAGAAAGAAGAATCTGTGGATCTAATCATGAACTGAACATCAATTGCTCAAAACTTAATTTACGCATTATTGAGAACTTAAAAGGAAAAATTTGAAAAGTTTTATAAAGATGTGGTCATGAAATGGAGAGCTCTCGTGATTCTTCAATATTGAGAGCTGATCGACAACAGATCAAGAAATAACTAACAGTAAACAGTTCTCAATAAAATCTTAACGACTGAGTTCAGCTCGTGTTTGACTACATTGACCTTATGAGTGTGATGTGGTCAGTGAAAAGGCGCGGTTATTTGCCAGATTTTATAGGCACCGCTGACTCAAGAGCCTGACTTATCGAACATGTTTGAACGGCTTCGCTCGACCTGCTCAACAGTTAGGCAATTGATAATAAAATGCTGTTAAATTGCCTAACAGATAATTGTTTACCTATGCTTATTCTAAATCTGAGTGACGCATGGTATTGAAGTACTTCAGAAGTTGCGTGAGTCGACAGTTTTATCTGATTCCCAACAACTTTGAGTATGTGTTATGTTTTGTTAATTAGCTAAAAAAGCAACATGGTCAAAAATCCCCTGATGTGAGGTAGAATCTGATCTACTTAAAAAAAAAAAAAAGAAATAATAAACAATTAAAGTACACCATAATAATTCATAAATATCTTCAATCTAATAAAACTAAAGATTTAGAATCGTTTTCTTAAATTATCGACCGAATTATCAATAAAAGATCGATCTAAATTTATTATACTGGAAGGCAACGACTCTGTGGCTTATAAGCAGACAATATATGAAGCACAAGACGTGACAATTCGCAATTTCGATTGTGCAAAACTTTTGTAGAACAAATCTGAGGAATGTCTGTGCGAAACACATGTAATTACACTCGTTCACTGCAGCATTCCAGCATAGTGGCAAAATATCTACATAGAACTATGGAAACAAACAAAACTCAACATAAATTTTTTAATTTACCTATTACGGCTAGGAAATGCATCACGATATTTTTGCAATAGAATATTCTTTAATTATTTTACTTAATTATTTTTATTTGTATATTTAACACACTTTCACTTTTAGTTTGATTAGTTTAAAGAGCGACTATTCAGGACTCGAATCCCTTGCGAGCTCAATGACAACTCCATAAAACTGAAATGGAATCGTCGCCTTTTATAACCAAAGCCGAGGCGAACCGATACGAAGAACAGAACCCGCAGCCCACAGCACAGAATGATTACTGAATGCCGTACGAGCATCGGGCGAATAAGTGCGCATACACACATACAATACAACGATACAGACACAAACACATACCCGCACACACATACACATACAGTCGCACACAATTGCACGCAGAGAGACGGTAAGTATTGAATTGGATTATGGCATTGGCACATACAGGTTGGCCGTTTTTCGGGGCATTCTATGCTCGCTCTCCCTCACTCTCTCACTACAATTTGTACTAGCGAAAAGACCACAAAATGGAGCTGATTAAACAACTGCAACAACTATAGCCATTACAACAAGAAGAGCTAGAGTAGCGCAGCAGCGGCAGCAGCAATAGCAGCGCGAGCCGAAGGCAGCCGAGCGAATTGCAATGTACCGAACGATTGCGGCGTCGCTTCGCTGCCTACGCCGCTGCAGCGAAGCTGAAGACGCTGCGATTAATTGATAAGCAAGCGAGTAAAGCTAAATGAGCAATAAATAGGCGTAATAAACAGTAGTAGCAACAGCTGTTCAAGAGAGGTGGAGAGCATGAGAGAGAGAGAGAAAGAGAGAGAAAGCAAGCCGATCCAATGAGAAGAACTGCAAACCGCGTGAACTCTAGCAGCGCTGCGACTGCGACTGCGACGCCGGAAGTGACGTTGCGGCAGCTGGAAAATTTCCATTCGCGAGCCTTAATTTTGGCCAATGGTTGGTCAACGCTGCAAATAAATTTAAATTAATATTATTAAGAGGCTGAGGGGTAGATTCTGCTCAAACGATTTGCTAATTTAAATTTTGATATCAATTAATGCGGGGTCAAGCCACAGATGCTTCTGTTCTAGTTTTTGTTTTTGCAGGCCACTTTACTACATGCAAGCTAATTGAAGAGACGAATTTCTAAACGAAAGAGAGTGAGTATGTGGATGCGTGTGTGTGTGTGTATGCGTCTATTCATGTATGCTGCCTTTTGTTGTGCTTCGCTGTCCGGCGTCGCGTCGTTAAACTGCACTTAATACATAACAAAAGTCAATGTCAAAAACAACATGCTGCTGTTTGTTATCGACTGCGCTGTCGACAGTCTAATGAGTAGCGCCCATCCGTGTGTATGTATGTGTGGAAGAGAGAGTTGCTGAGAATTTATTTACCTATGCGGTTTGAGTATAAATCAAAATGCATTTCCGCTGCAAATTGCTGCTGACGCTCGCTTTCGTTTTGTGTTTTTTTTTTTCAGATATGCAAACATTGATGCCCTGTATATTAATAAAAAGTATATTTTAAAATATTTCAATCAGGTTTTATTTTAGATTTTGATTTAGCTCTTTAAAAATCAAATGACTATATATCATGTCTATAGCCAGTCTTTAAATGCAATAATAGGCAGTAAACAGGTATTTTATTTATCGAAAATAAAAACGGTTTATCAGCTAATTAACATCTAAGTGCATTTAGCTGCGTGCGACTGCATTTCAGATATAACAACAACAGCGACAACAAATTAAGGCGGAAAACAAACACATTGATGAAAAAGCACCGTCACGCGACTTTTTCCCAGCTGAGCATAAAATGAAAACAGAAATAAAAAAAAAAAAAAAAGTCATGCAACTGACCCCAAAAGCTAATAAAATAACATTAAACGGCAAAGGTCTGCAACATGTTTCGTTTAAAAGGCGCCTATAAAAATGTGACTTGATTGCCATTAGATGAATTTAGCAAATTGAAATCAAATGAAATTCAATTGAGTTGCGAGACACATCTGATTTGTGCTAATGGCATCGGTTCAATGATCAAACAACTCAATTAATTCATCCGCGACGAGCAGCAATGGGAGCAACTGGCTTATTTTTCTCCCCTTTGAAATGGAAATCGAAATATTTGGTTGCCCGCGCATTAACACGCAACTCTGTATTGCTTGCAGCCCTCGTTGCTTATCGAAAGTGTAATAACAAAATCAAAAAGTTGGCAACGCCCTGTTGTTTGTCAGTTTGCAGCGTTGCCCCTCTGTGCGCTTCATGTCACATATGTTTTTCTAGTGTGATTTGAAGCAAGCATTGGGTTATTTCACAAAAAGTATTTATCCAAATAATATTGTTGAATTTATTGTGTCTGAAACATTTGAGCAGTCAAGCGAACAAAGCTAAATTAGTGAAAGATTGTTGCGAACGGGAGGAGGTTGCATCAAGTTGGCAGCATTGTCGAATGCTGAGCTACGAAGTAGTGTGCAAAAGCAAAGCGAAGAGAACGCAGCGCAGCCGAAAAAAATTTTTGGAAGCAGTAAAGCAGCGCACTGCACGCGATATATTTTTTATTTTCAAAAGATTGAAGCTAATATTAAACAATTTAGCGGATCAACGTGCCGGGCAGCCGTAAGTGCATTAACATTTGAAATATTCAACGTAATTATATAGTCGTGTAGTTCGTCTGCATGAAACATTCAACGTAATTATGTAGTCGTGTAGTTCGTCTGCAGAATTTTTTTGCAAGAAGCGAAAAAATTTTTGCACAGCGGCAAAGGCGGCAGCGACCGAGACTGCGGCGAATTTGTGCAGCAAAGGAGAGCTGAAAATAATGAAAAATTTACAAAAAGCGCACTCGGTGTGAAATAGTTGAGAATGCGAATGTAATTAAATAATTATATTCACCAGAATTTTCAAAAGTTTTAAGAAATGATGACTAAAAATTGATACATTTGTATGTGTGTATGAAAAATCGGCATGTGCTGGGGCATGTGTGTGTGTGCATAAAATTCTTATTGGAAAAGCGTGCTCAGCATTTCGGCGGCTGCTGCTTCTGCTGACAGTTGGACGTATATATATATATCTATCTATATATATGTGAGAGTGTATTTGAGTGTAGGGTGTATGTGTGTGAGAGAGAGCTGAGAAGTGATGTGAAGACACAAAAGAAAGACGGCGGCGCTGACTATAAAATAAAGAAGAAGACAACGGACCAGCTCTGCCCCGGCAAAAGCGCGTTGACGTTTCTTGCTGCATTTGTTGTCGTTGTCGTCGGTGTCGTTGTTGTTGTTCTTGATATTTAGCTACCGTTCTCGACCAGAAAGGAATTTCCTATGCTTAGCCCAAAATAACTTCAAAACTTTTGATTGCCATCGCGCGGCTGTTGCCGCTGCTCTCTGCTCTCCACTCTCTGCCGTTCGCCATTCGCCATCGACCGCTGCGCCGTTAATTTGCCTGTGTCAATCTATAAGCTCATAATTTCGCCTTAAACTGTATTTATTATTGTTATTGTTATTGCCAGCTCTTGCTCTTGTTTATTATTTCAGGAACTGCGAGAGTTGAGCATACGTATGTGTGTGTGGGTGCAACAGCAAGCATAACCACCGCAAAATTGCTACAACAACAACAACAACAACACCAACAAAAACAAAAAGAGCAACAAAGCAAAAGACTGATAAAGCAACTGCAGGGAATATAACAAAGATTTGAAGCAACAACGCTAAACTTTGTCGTTGTGTAGGTGTTGAATTGCCATTGCCATATTCTATTTGATTTAATTGCATTTTCTATCTCTTCTCAATTTTTAGAGGCTAACATACGAAATACGTCGGCTTGAGTGTGGCGATTGGCGGGGGCGAGTGCTGTAGTATCAATTACAACTCCAACGACTACTACAACTAGAGCTGCACACAAGAGCTGGAGACCGGCGAACACAGGGTTAACAAAATGGACGATCTTATGGTCGAAGTACGACTCGATAATGGTGCCTATTACAAGGTAAGATAGAGAGAGAGCGGGAGTACTCCAAAGCTGAACTCGCCGCTGCTGCTGTCGACGTCGCTGTCAACGCAGCAACTGCAGCAACATGTGCCGAAGGCAGCGACGGCCTCAGTTTCTAATTTCGTAAATTTTAGCTTTATTTCTATAAATATCTGCATCATTTTGTTGAGTGGAGTCTCGCATCGAAATAAGGCACATACAATACACACACACACACACACACACAAGCATAGAAATCAACACGCACTCTCATAGGGCGCACGCAGTCGCTGTCTGTGTGTGGGGGTGTGCGTGTGTCGTCGCCTGCGCGAGCGTCGCTGCATATTCACGTATATGATTGTGTTTGTGTGTGTGTGTGTGTGTGTGTGTGTGTGTACAAGCAGCAGGCTCCGCAGAGTTGCTTTTAGCGCCACTGACGTTCGCGGCGAATACTTTGTTGCTTTGTGATTTCCCTTTCTAAAGCTTATCAGATTTGCATACATAATACGTTTTGATGGCTTTGATAGCAAAGTGGAATTTATTTGCACATGCAATAGCATTTCTTTTCATTAAGAGCCACACTCTCAGTTTATTGAAAACTCTTGCAATTCATTGAATGGTATGAAAAAGCGTCATTCAGCCAAAAAGATGCTGGAACTCATTAGCCATTACCCAGGAATTCGTAATTAATTTTGTGCATGGAATAGTTAGGATGCTGAGGCGTCGTATTTTGTCTACTAATTGACGTATTTCCAGGAATTATATTTCTAATTGATTATGGAAAGGGATGCAAATCTCATTCCATAATTATTTTAATAGGAAATTATACAAAAGAGTTTTTTATAGATTCTATATATGTACATATGTATATGATAACACCGCAGAATCACAAGTTTACTTGCTTGGAATTATATTTCTACTTGAAAGTGTAAAGGGAAACAAAAATAATTTACTAATTACAATGCATAGATAGTTCAATTATAAATATCTACTCGGAATTTTATGCATATGAAATTTATTTTAATGTGCTAAATTCAATTCCAATATTTTCCAAATTAAATTACGTAGAAGGTATTTCTGAGAAAAAAAAAGATATTTTTTATGGACTGTATATATTATTGCTGCTAGCGATTACCCTTTGCATTGCATTTCTTATCAGTATCAATCGGCGTATTTACCCCGCGTGTGTGGCACGTTTTGTCAACGGCATTTATCTGGTAATTCGCTCATAAAAATGTATAATTAAGAGCAAAATTATGTATCTATAGCTTTAGGAAATGTATCATAAAGCAACAAATGCGCAGACCA